ACTATAAAGTTATTAACAATAATGATATGCTAAATTCGCTATTATCCCAAATTAACTTCGTATATATTATGGAGATTATTAATTTATTTATATATCACAAGCTGCTTAGTTTTGATTTCCATGAAATTTACCTACTCCAACTGTTCTTCTAACTCATCTTTATTTTGTCAAATCATTTTCAGCATTTCCCTTGTCAATCATCTATCTTATCTGCTGACGTTACTTACCATCTTCACACAGCAATTTGTGTTTATCTCAAAATATCATTAAACAAGCCAGGCTATTAGCATATCTCACACATATGGATCGGCTCTTTAATGGTTTCTACCATGACAAACTCACACATTTGGCCAGATGTCAGGCGCACACTGATGATAGAGAGAGAACAACATAGGCAGAGAGAGAGAGAGAGAGAGAGAGAGAGAGAGAGAGAGAGAGAGAGAGTTAGAACGACAAAGACCCGCAGGACAGGACTTGGTACGGAAGGCGTCATAAAAACCAGTCGACAAATGAGACAAAAGATAAGCCCAGCAGCGCATGCGCCATGGGACAGGCGAGGTGAGGGGGGTAGCCAGATGTGGGTATGATATAGACCAACTTAGCAAGAGGCCCTCAAAGAGACACGGCTCACTCATGAATGAAGCGGATGGGAAAACGGCGAGAACAATACGGCTGCTGCTGCTGCCAAGATGAKAAAACAACCCTCAAAATGCCAGGTCGACACGATCTGGCCCTTTAGACGGGTCACGTCGCGGTACGGTATGCTCTGCTACCTAACAGACCGAATGCAAAAAGTACTTTGGATATGCGCGGAAAATTGCCAAAAACTGGTTTCATTCAGCATCAGCTTATTGTGTGTTAGCCTTGGTCGAGAGCGCCGCTTAGGGGATGCTGCTGTGCGGGTTCAATGACCATGGCCAGCAGCCAGCAGCCAGCATCTAAGGGTACGGCAKTGGTACAGCTCACAGGCTTCCTTTGAGTCAATCAAATGTTCGGCTTTRTCAGAGATTTGCTGTACTTGGCAATGATTGAATGTAAGTTGAGAACTAAATGAGTATATGAAATGAGGTCCATTAAAATTTGAATATTACAAAGGGGAATGCTT